CATCCAATTATAGCACCGGTTATGTTTCCAATCGAAAAAAACAATCTGTTAAGGCTGTTAAAGAGCATGTGAACATTGCATCTAATCATTCTGATGTGGAGCCAATGGTTGAAATGTTCAAAAAGCTGCAGAATGAAAGCTTCAGTGAAGAAGATTCAGTGGAGGTTCTTCTTCTGCTGCAGAAATCTATGCTAGAAAAACAATGGAATCTTTCAGCTGAGAAAACATTGGCAGCTTTTCCACCAAATGAAAAGAACTGTAAAAAGAAGATGCAGATCACTTGTTCAGGGACTTCTGCTAGGCGGAGGAGAATGGATACTCGTAAAAGGGTTCAAATTCCAAAAACTTCAGCTGCAGCAAATAGTGCAAGCAAGCGACTGAGATCTGTTGTCGGTCCAGAGCTACAACAAAACCGTTTGAGAGGTTACATGAAAGGTGTCGTAAACCAAGAACTGCTTACACATAAGGAAGTGGTGCAACTATCCAAGAAAATCAAATTTGGTCTTTACTTAGAAGAACAGAAGGCCAGGTACTAAACTCACAACTCCCTCCAACTGTGCCACCCCTACTTTCTCAAACATCAGAACAGACTTTAGCAGCTGATCTTATCTCTTCAGTGAAAATTACTATAAAGAACTTAAGAAATATTGTAGAAAGAGTGAAATATACTGTATGAATTATACTTTTTACCCATGAGAAGCAGAGTCATGTGGTTAATCTCTCTTCTCAAATATCCCATCCAAACGTTCTGTTCCGAGTTGGTCCAACTGCTTTTGATGTTTTCCTAACATTGCTTTCATAATATCGGTAGTCAAGTTGCTACCAATGTTTTAGGAGTGCTTGAAACTTATTATAAGAAAGAGTTATTAGCCTTTATGAATGCTGTGAGACTGAACCAGATTTAAGACAGTCTTAATGTTGCTAATGGTAGCTAGCTTCCTTATCTAATAAAAAATGAGGTAAATAAACAGGATGGAGACAGAATGCCTGAGAAATGTTTAGATAATCTAGAGAGTTACTACTTAGCATGTTTCTCTTTATAATTGTCAAAATGTAGTTGTGCCTTCTTGAAGGTTATGATTTCAATATTAATGACAGCTTGACTTCTTAATCTCTATCACATTGAAGGGAATATTTTTTTATTAAATTGATAGTGATATTTTTTTTGACAAAGAAATTGATAGTGATATTTTGGACTAGGTATTTTCTTTCAAAATGTGTTTTAGAGATTATTTACCCACCTTGTTTATTCCATGGAAAATTTTAGTCTGAAGGAAAGATTGGGATGTGAACCTTCTGACGATCAACTCGCGGTTTCCTTGAAGATGTCTCTTGCTGATTTACGATCTACATTAATGGAGTGTTCCTTGGCTAGAGAAAAACTTGCAATGAGCAATGTTCGTCTCGTCATGTCAATTGCACAAAGATATGATAGCATGGGTACTGAAATGGCTGACCTCATTCAGGTAACTTTTTACTGTATGAACAAAGCTACCGATGCAGAACTTCTTGCATTTGTGCATTGGTTATTATACTGTAAAATCAAACGTGGCACTTCTTGAGGAAAGTTCCTTCACGTGCATGTAGGGGGGCCTTATTGGACTACTTCGTGGGATAGAGAAATTTGATCACTCAAGAGGATTCAAAATCTCAACTTATGTTTATTGGTGGATTCGTCAGGTGAGATTACTATTTTGTTTTGTTTTTCAGTTTCTTGAAAACAACACAAGTTTGTGTTGTAAAATCACGAGGACCTTTCATTACCTATTGGCTATTTCCCCATTTCTCAGGGCGTCTCCCGAGCATTAGTTGATAACTCAAGAACCTTAAGATTGCCCATACATCTACATGAAAGACTGAGTTTGATCCGTAATGCAAAAGTCAAGCTTAAAGATAATGGAATAACTCCATCAATCGAAGTAAGTTTTGTCAAAATGAATTGATCGATATCATACTCTGAATGTTTCTAATAAAGTTAATTGTAAAGTATTACACTGTTCTTTTTGCTAATTTGCTTGTGCTTTTTCCTGATCCATCAGAAAATAGCTGAATGCCTTAACATGTCCCAGAAGAAAGTCAGGAATGCAACTGAGGTATGATTATCTTATAGCTTTAACATTTCCAGTTCATTTAGTACAAATTGCTTCTAAAATATTTCTTTTTCTAGGCAAGCAGCAAGGTGTTTTCACTTGATAGGGAAGCATATCCCTCTTTAAATGGCCTTCCTGGAGCAACACTTCATAGCGTAAGTCCAAACCATAATCTTTGCAAAAATGTATTCTAGATTTGCATTTGACAGCATTCTGAATTTACTAAGTAATCCAAGACCGCCACTTTACAAAATGTACATATTGACTATCAATCTTCTAGAAAGATTTTAATCCAAGATCTTGAGGTCTTAGGCCCTTCTTTGTATCAGCCATTTTTCATCACTTATGTTTCATGGCCTACTTTCTTCTGCAGTACATTGCTGATAATCGCCTGGAGAACAACCCGTGGCATGGAGTTGATGGATGGGCGCTCAAGGTAGGTTAATGAAGAGAAATCCTCACAATTTATTATTAAATATTGAACACATGAACAGTATTTAATATGTGACTTGTGTTCATATGTTAATGAATTTAACAAAATTAAACTTTTGAGGTATTTTGTCCTGATTTATCCCCCTCCCTTAAATTACAGAGGAATTAGTATTAACCCTGGTCCCTGGTAGATGCATGCCTGAAAGATTCCTAGTGGCAATTACTACTATTCTAGCACTAGCTCCCTGAATGAGTCTTTCCTCCTTGACTCAAAATTAGGTTCGATTTCGATAAGTCAACTCATAATGATGGTTAGTTTCCCAATTATAATTTTGTGCAGGAAATATGATCTTGGTCTACATTCTTTGTACCTTTCCATCACTATATTTGATCGCTGTGCTACCATAAAAGTTTGTTCCCTTAAATTCCCTTCTTTTTGCGTTGCTGTGTTTTTTCTCTTCTATAACTAACTAGAACTGAGCCTCAATCTCAAACTAGTTGGGGTCAGTTTTATGATACTTCAGTAATCATATCACGCCAGCAATCCAATATGTGAAAATTTAGGCTCTCTAGCACTAGAAGTTCTATAGTTTCTATACTGTCATACAAATCTCTAACGAGACTAGCAAACTAAACCTGAATCACAATTGAATGTTAGTCTATATAAATCCTTTTTTCCCCATTTTGCCTTAATTATTTTATGCTGAGTTTGCATGTATTCCAAGACTCTAGGTCTTTTTAGACAGTTCTTCCCTATGATTAGGTCTACCTCCTATTTTCACTTGGGATGTATGTAAACAGATTGGTAGTAATGATAACACCCCAAATTTGGGTCTGAGGATACCTGTGATATCAATCATGCTTCTCCCTACCTATGTTTCCCAGGAAGGGATGTTCTCTGGGGGTGCCCCCTTCTACGTTACATTTTTCTTTTCTTCTCATCTTATTTATCAAGACGTTAACTTGAAATGTCTTAGAGAGTGAAGAAATCATGACTGACTTTATCTGTTTTGCAGGATGAAGTAAACAACCTCATTTCTTCAACTCTTAGGGAACGCGAGAGAGATATTGTCCGACTGTACTATGGTCTGGACAATGAGTGCCTTACCTGGGAGGATATTAGTAGAAGGTAAGAGCCCTAGTAAAATTGACTCTTTAATGTAGTTAGCTAAAGATAAAGAAACTATACATGTTTAAATTCACAACAATTTGAACTAGGTTTGAAAAATTTATTGCTATGAAGTTTCTTATTTTGTTGAACCGTTGCTCTAATTTTTTTTTTTCTTTCTTTACAGGATAGGTTTGTCCAGAGAAAGAGTGAGGCAGGTTGGATTAGTTGCACTTGAGAAATTAAAACATGCTGCCAGGAAAAAGCAATTAGATGCAATGTTGGTTAAACATTGAGTATGATCGTTGAGACCAAACTACAAATGAACTGTACATAGAATGTAAGGAAACCTGCATCTCCTATTTTATTTTCTTGATGAGGAGAACAGATGAAGATCAAAGGGACATTCTTCACCATCCACCCGTCCCAAGCCTCCAAATTCGTCCGAGAAGAGTCAGAAAGATGTAGTGAAGATTTTTGTGCATCATATATTTTAGGATGTATCTGTGTTTATTGAGATAGTAGGTAGGTAAATGCAAATACTGTATATATGTTCTTTGTGTTGACTTATTTCATACACTTCATGTGATAATGTCCATTTTATATGATGTATCTTGATGAAAAATACAGTTCCTAAAATGTTAATCTGACTTTGTACACAATTTTAGTGGTAGTAGAAGAAAATATTTAAAATAATATTGTCAAATTTATTTCCTGTAGTAAAGAAAGTAGCACAACAAAGTTGAAATTTGAACTCTTAATAGATTAAAAAGCTGTTTGGGAAGTGAAATCGGGTATAACAAGTCAGAAGTTCAAATACAAATTGTGTTATTACTCTTTTACTAGTATATAAAAGGGATGGAGTAGTTCTGTGAGCTTTTGGTATGAATTGCCACTTGATAAAAGCTGTAGTTTGTTTGATGAAGCTTCTAAAATCAACACATCTTGAAGAGTGCTACTTTTGGTGAGAAGCAGTTTGTGTTTAATCCATAGATATTGAAAATACTTTTGTAAGACAATTAGCATTCAACCAAACTTTTTCAAAGTGCTTCCAAGTACATTTTTCTGAAAATGATTTTGGAAAAAAACTACGTTTATTTTCTCCTAAAAGCTTGATCAAATACCTTACTTTTTTAAATTCACACTTTTGGCCTCCCAAAAGCTTGGCCAAACAGGTTATAAGTTCCTTGAAAATATTGAGTTGGTGTTCTTGAAGATAAAACCCATGTCAGCATAGACACTTAATCACATGCAATGCCTGTGCTAGTGAGAGGAAGCTGACTGAGACATTATGGTTACCCAAAAAAAAGAACCTATAGTTTGCACTTTGCATTTTACAGGGTTCTATGGACTATGGCACATTGAAAATCTCCATGCAAGACAAAGGCTCAAGTATAGAGATTTTAGCCAATCATCATTCTTACAAAAAAGTTGTGAATAATACAGAAAAGTGAATAAACATCGACTGCCTAGCAGCTATCTAGTTTGTAGCTCTAATACAACAAGGTTCAGAGGGGGAAAAAAACACTAGGTAAAATTCCTTTGGGTGCAAGGCTGAAAGCAAACCTTGGCTATTTGGTGTCTTGCTAAACAGATCAGTAGTTAATTAGGACAACTCCTTCATTCGATGTCATCAATCCAGTCGCCATATATTTTACTAATCTTATCCGGGCCTTTCCATTTTTTAAAGAACCTTTGGCCAGGCCTATCAGCTATGCCAGTTGGCCTTTGTACCTGAACACCCTGCCCCAGATGATAAACATCTGTGTGGAGTGCTGGAATGGTTGAAGGAACTGTACTTTCTGTTGCTCTTGATGGAACCCCGCCCTGCTTTAATTCTGGAGGAACAGAGACATAATCTTTGCCATCTGTTTCTGCAGGTCCTCCACCAAACTTGTTCAGTTCTGCCACAAAATAACACAAGTTAGTAGTTTGCACAGGATCAAACGGAAACATCCGACAAAATTTTGTAGTCTGGTCAAATGAAACAGGACAGCTATAGCTAACACAGAAGACCTCTGAACAATTAACTGAAAGATGACCAAACAATTGCACATTTAAGAGTCTTAGCATATAGGTCTTACAATCACGCAGATTATCTTTACCCTTAACCATCATGCAGGCACTCTTTTCCGCAAAACCAGACAGCTCCAAGAGTACCAACTTTTAGTCAACATTCAACTGCTTCCCTGATACTTAAGGTTCTCTTAGTAGCAAAACCATTGCCATGATTATGTCCGCATTTAACGAAATTTATGAAGTTGATACCTAAGAGGCTCTTCCTATTGCACATGAAGGTATTGACATAAAACGTATACCACCAAGTTCCAGTAAATTTTTGTCTTCTTCTTCCTTTCAAAAATAATTAAATATCTAACCATTACCTGGAAAACTGTAATCCTTATTACTTAACATGCTCTCCAACTAATCTCTAGGATGTTCCCCAGTCTCTGCTGAAATTATTAGATTCTTCCACATCCAAGGTCTTGTGACTGCGCAAACTTCCAATCAACCTCCTCAAGCCTTCTAATGACTTTAGTTCTTTAAAATCTTCATTTCATAGTCGTTGCATTGGCTCATCAACCAAATAACAAGATTCAGAAATTCAATTCCTTGGTCTTCCCCTTTTCTGTTTTGTTGGATATAACAAAGCCCACCTCACCTACCAGGAGCCAAACAATGACTTTTTTTCACTTTGCTCCTGCAACTCGAGTCCAACATCGCGGTTGGAGGTGGAAAGCCCTTTCCACTAGGTTATAAACTACTTCCTCTCAATTTTTTGGATGACTAAGAAATCTATCTGGAGCCACCCGCAGCTTCTGAAACTCAGTAATGATGGGGCCACCCCTCTACTCTTCTTCACTTAAATATACTAGACTTAGTTTGCTTGGCGCAGGGATCAAACTTGTGACCTAAGACACAAGTCCCTCAACCTTTGCCAATTGAGCTAACCCTAAAAGGCACTCCTTTCTCTCAGTTTCATCCAACTTATACAAAAGGAAAGAAATTCAACTTCATCCTAAATACCTATATGATGCCAATGAATAGCATCAACACAGAATATTGAATATTACATGCCATTTGGAGTTGCTATTCATTTTATCTTGTTTTTGGATAGGCACATGTTATTGTTAACCCAATAGTTCCTTCTTTTTTTTCTTCGATAAAGTACACCTTCTGTTTTTTTATGTATCTTGGTTGGATTGGGTACAAAGTTTAGAAAACAGGGGAGACATTTGAATCTTGTGGTCTTAAACTAAAGATGTATATAATGTACTGAAATGTTCTTTGAATCTTGTGATCTTAAACAAGAAATGTGAGATGTTAGAATTAAAGAGTTACCAAATATAGAAAGTGTCATTCTTTTCAAAACAAATTAAAAAGGAAAGTAAGAGTGTAAGACACATAAATTGCAGCGATGGAGTAATAATTTATTGATATTGTGGAGAAGAAGTATACTGTATAACAAAAAGTAAAGAGACTTAAAAAAGATATGGATTATCTGTATACACAGGGGTACACCAAAAGTTATAATCAAAATAAAGAGCATACCCCAATAGTTGTGAAGTCATATTTTATCCCTTGGCACAAGTATTTAAAGCCTCATCTATGTAAAGTCAGACATATTCACCTAATATTCTAACCATACATATAAAAAATGTAATGAGTTTGGTATCTGATGTCATTCAACAGATAATCTCATATATAGAGTTATCAATAAAGAGAAGGATAATGACGAGAGTGAGTATAGTTATTAAGCAAACTAGTTGAGAACAAGTATTATCTGGGAGTTTCCCAGATAATACTTTCATAAGTATTGAAGTCATCCTATATAGAAAGAAACTTCAGTCTCTTTACTGGTATTTTCAGCTTGTCTAATTTCAAGTTTACACATTTAAGATGACAAGGCAAGTCTCTGTCCAACATAAAAGATAAAAGGAACCTAAATACACTCATCAACATGCATTTTCACATAGCATTCCAGCAAGCCAAAAATCAATATAAATCATCAATATTAAGCAATCTCATTATAAACATTGATAGATGATAAGATAAGCTGCTGACCACCAGAAAGGATGGGCCTTAATACACTTTATCCACTCGCATTTTCACCTAAACAAAATTTAACCAAGCAGATCAACAATTGCAGCAAGCCAAATCAATCATAAATCATCGATCTTCAGCAATCTTAGTGTATACATTGATATCCTATCTCCCTTCAGCAGAAATAAGCAAAAAGTTATATCCATACCTGCCACACCATGAGCAAAATGACACTTGCTGCCAAACGGGCAATAACCAGTAGTCTCCCACTTATTACAAATTCTTGTCTTCCAGTTTGAAGGCTTTTGGGTTGCTCCAGTAGCATTATTTCCAAATCCACCAACAGTAGGAGTCACACTTATTGCAACACTCTCTCTAGACCGTGATTGTTCATCGTGAAGGAAAGTGCAACTATCTCCATAAGGACATCCCTCTTCAGTGTAGAACTTCTTGCAGTGCCTCCCTTTAGCGGACCTTTGAGACTCCCCACGTAAATCAGGAGAGCTCAATATTGGTATCTGGTGTTCTTCTCTCAGTTCCACCATTACTCCCCGCTCATTTTCATGTGCAGCTACTATCTCTTGCCAATTAGGAGGTGGTTTGCGAAGCTCCTCTATTCCATGAGCAAAGTTACAATTAGTAACATAGGGGCAGACACCAGCACGGAATTTACAACACAATTTAGTTTTAAAGAACATCTTTCCGATTGCTTTAGAACTACTGGTGACTATAATGCGAGCATCTGAGTCCTGCACATTCCTTGACTTCTTGTTAGGAGGCTCACTCCCCGACCGGTTTTGTGAATGCCTACCATCCTGACTGGAATTGGAAGGGGTTTCACAAAAGGGACCAGTGTTCCAGGCTTTATAATCATCCTCAGTAGCCCAAACTGCCTGGTCAGAAAAATTAGGACCCCAACTGTCATAACCACCACCTCCGGCTGTGGAATCTGGGATCACATTCCCTCCAGCAAAACCAGCTTCACCCGTAAAATCCATTTTAACAGCAGATCTGACTACCCAAAATGTTCAATTCCCAAAACTGATAAAATAGAGTAATATAACATACAAAAACAAGAAAGCTCAAACCATGAGCAAAAAGATTACACACTGACAGCTATACCCAAAAGAATGAGAAAGCAGGAACCTCAAACCAACACAAACATCCCAACACACTTATTGTCCAGAAAGGAAAAAGAAATAAGAAACCTTCCTCTTGAAAATAAGGAATTGGAAGCTAAAAATCCTACCTTTATCACTTGATTGTTACAGAAAAACCAATTTTTTTCCTTTAGTGGGTACAATGTAAACTTTCCAACAATCAACCCTTCCCTAATTCAAAAAGTATAGTACAACAAGTAATCAAACAAGATTGCTCAAACACAATGCACTTCAAAAACCCTAGGTCTCATTAATTACTAACAGAAGAAAAGAAAGAAAACCCAACAAACCCAGATGGAAAAACAACAGCTACAGAAAAGGAAAGAGTACAGAAATTAGGGAATTCAAGATTAGTAAGTGTAGAAACAGTTGATTAAAGTTAACTCACATAAAGGAAACAGAATCTCACGACTAAAAATTGGAGTTAACAAATATCAGATTATGGGGTTACGATGCTTGATTGACGAAAATGGAAGAAAACGGGAGCAGCGGTGGTGGTGTGTCGTCAATTCATCGGACCTTATCTCCGCAAAAATAGCAAATGCCACTGTAAATCGGACAACTTCCGGTAAGATGATAGATTGTCTTAAATAGGGATTTATTTATTTACTCTAATTTCCTTTAGGGCTCCCATTAATTGAATTCACACTAAATAAACCTCAAATTTTGATTATTTTTTCATAATTACACAATAAGTATTATAGATATAATTATTTTCTATAATTTAAAACTATCAAAATTAAAACAGCTGAAAAACTTAAATAATGGCGAAACAAATTGTTAGAGAAAAACACTAACAGTACGCTCACCTGAGATAAGAAGAAGCTATAAAATTCACATAAATGCAAAGTTAAGAACAAGAAAAAATGTAGAGAGTAGAGACGTCTCAGAGAGGAAGATGTTTATAGGTGAATTATTTTTTTATCGAAGAGGATAAACTTGACGGAGAAATCAAGTGTAACTATCGAATAATATAGAAAAACAATTGTAAAGTGGAAAACTTTAAAATAAAAGGACAGGAATAACCTCAAACTGAATGTGAATTCCAAAAAGCATACGCGTCGACAAAGAGGTTTTAGCTATTCCCTTTTATTAAATAGTACTAGTTAGGGGTATTCACGATTTGGATAAAAATTGATCCAAACTAAAAAATTGAACCAAATCGATAAAATCAACCGATTTTATGGGTCTGGTTTGGTTTGGTTTTAGATTTTTGAAAACCGATAGTATTTGGTTTAGTTATGATTTTATTCAAAAAAATTTGAAGAAATAAGCAAACCAAAATGATGAATTATATACATATATTTTATTAATATGCATATTTAATATATTATTTTTATAAACAATTTTAAAGATCTTATATATGTTTTCATTAAATTTTCTTTATAATTTACTTATTGAAAGCAAAAATTCCCAATGTGAAAATATTTATCTTATTAATTTCATGTATATGAGTGTCTATGGCAATTTTTTGTGGAACTGAAAATGTTACTGCCTCGTCCTTCTAGGCCAATATAGTGAATTTTAAAACTTTATTCATAGTAACTTCAATGATTGAAAGTTCAGTAATTTCAGTCATTCTAACTATTTTTCGTTCTGAATGAATTGTTGTCAATTTTTTTCACATTATGAATGAACTATTTCTTTTATTATTGTGTATGGTTAATAACCGAATAACCAAACCGAAACCTATAACCACCAAATTGATAAATGTATATTATATTTGGTTTGATTTTGATAATTTTAAAACCGATTAAGTTGGTTTGATTTTGGTTTTGACCAATAACCGATCCGTAAATACCCCTAGTACTAGTGTTTGACACATGCGTTATATGTGTGCTCCATGTAATTAGTATATATATAGTGATTATATTAAAATTGAAATGTAACAAGTAACATGAAATCTAAAGTGGAAAAATGCAAGTTGAAAATAATTGAAATTAAATATGAATTTATTTACTCCATAAACTTTAGAAAGTTTTGAGGGGTTGACAAAAAAAAAAATTCACCCGAATTACGAAAATTTTAAGGACTCCTAGTAATTGAATCCATGCAAAGAGAGGGGAAGTTGACGTCATAGAGAGGGGGAGATTGGAGGTGAGTTGTTTATTTGATCGAAAGAGGTGAGTTGTTTATTAGGTCGAAGGAGGTGAGTTAGAGGACACGATTGAAAGAGAAATCAAGTGTACGAGATGAACAATAAAGAGAAGCAATTGTAAAATAGAAAATCTTTAAATAAGATAACATGAATACTGTTGAATTAAATGTGAATTTCATAAAGCACACACGTTAATAAGAAGGTGCATCTTATATTCCGGCCTCTTATTAGATAAAAAATATTAGTGTCCCACATGTATGTTGATTGTTGCACTTATGTCCCGTACAAGCATATATATTATAATTACTTTAGTAACATAAAATCTACCGTGACAAAAAAGTATAAATTGAATTTTTATTTTTCTATTTACCTTTTTGACTCAAATGTTTTTTATTAATTCTAGTATCTCAAATTCTCTTTATTTTTCTATATATAGGATTTTTGATCTTGATTTGCACGTGTCATCGCACCTTATTAGATTTGTTGGACTTGCACGCCAAAAAATTGTATCTAGTAATTAAATGGCGTGGTTGTGTTAAAGATAATATTGTCCCCGCTACATTAAAAATTGGGTCCATTTTTGCTTATTATTAATTTTAATATCTTTTTTTTTTAGAATGAAGTAGACCATATTAATTTTAATATCTTATATTTAAATACATAATTATTTTTATTTATAAATTTAACTTTCACATTCAAAATATATCAACTGCTTTTAATCGACTAATCCGGAAGGACTCTTTATGTGCTTTGTTGTAGGGACAAGAACAAGGTACTTATATCAATTTAAACTTAAAGAATGTCAATAGTAGTTAACAAAAATATTGAAGAGGGTGTATGATTATTGATTACTTAATAAAGTTGGTTAATTCTGTATAAGACTATCCTTTTCCTTTCTGTAAAAGAAAAGTAAGCATTATAGAAATAGACCATTTGAAAACAACACCAAACCTGCCTGACCCATTCTTCATCTTTTATCACCTGCAAAAAGCAAAAAGAAGTAGATAGATAATACTCACATTGTTTCTAAAAAAATAATAATCATTTCCAATTTATACGACACATTTCATTTTCCAAGACAAAAAAATTGCTCATGAAATCTTTAAATGTTTTAAAATGAAATTTATATATTTATAAACTAAGTAAAATGTACTAAAATCACAATAACGGACAATTCAAAAGACTTATTTGAATTTCGAAATTCGAAATGTGTTACATAAATTGAAACAAAGGGAGGAAGTTATTACTACTACTACCCCTGTAGCTAAAGCAAAAATACCTCTTTTCTAAAAACAGGAAGGGTAGCCTTGTAAATTCCTCCTCCCAATTCAAAAGCTGAAACTGATATAGGAAAATAAATAAATTAGTATAACTGCTCTAGTATGGCTGATCACCAACCCAAATGATCTTTTTTTTCTCTGTAAATTTTTTCCCTTTATTCCATCAGTGCTAAAAGTAACATTCTTGATATAATTTCACAATTTTTTTTGTTTATCTCTGTCTTGCATTTTTCTCCTTATTTTGTTATGAAGACAAATGTCAGCAAATTTAGCAGCAAATCTTCCTTTGTGTTGATAAAGTAGTATTCTTGTTTTTCTTCAACAGCCAAAATGTCTACTAAAATCAAGTAAGTGCTTATGGATCTGAATTGTGAGTTGTCTTTACAATTTTAACATGTCTGTAACCGTTTTTTTTTTGGGCCCTCTTTCTTCGAAAGTAATTTTTTTAAAAAAAATTCCCTTGTCTATGATTTTAAGCATCTTGTATTTGAATGTTGCCTTGTTATGGTATCTGGCTTGATCTAAGGATCTAAAATTTCACTCAATCTGGCAAAGTTTTCTGATGCATCTACTTCATGATTGGTAATGTTGCCCAAAAGTGAAAAGAAAACAATAGATAAGGAAAAAAAGGTAAGTTGGATACTACATTTTGATAAAAAGTTTCCAACTTTGGCATGGATTGTTCTAATTTCCTTTGCAAATTACTAACTGGATGCTGTGGAGTTGGGGGTAGGGGTGGAGGATGGGGTTGATCTTGTGATTTTTCCTTTTTAGAATTGCTTGGAGTATCAGGTTTATCTAATTGTGGTGTATTTGAACTTTCACCAGATCAACATCAAGTGGAACTCCTAGTAATTCGACACCAGTAACTCCGCGGATCAGTAGAGTGAGCAGGGGAATAGCTAAATCTGATGCTGATTCGCCCTCTTCACTGCAGAATTTGCATCGTTCAGTTGATAAGACTGTTAGATCTGCTATAACTTCTAAGCCTTCGGTGGAACGGCGGACCTCTAAGATCAGTACTCTACCTGATGTGAGTTTCTCAAAATCCATTTGATGTTATGTGTGTAAGGTGATGTAATTTGAGTTGCATTGCCTTGATTATGCTATGACATTACGTCGAATAAGGTTCAGATTCTGAATGTCTGTTGGATTACCATGTGGATGCAGGAAAAACTAGTTTTCATCAAAATAGAGAAAGTTCTTCACTAGTGTCTCGATGAAACGTTTTTTTTTGTCTTCTATAACTTATGCATTCTTATTTACATTACTTGCTTGATTTTAAATTTATCAGAAAAAGCCAACGCGGATCCTGAAGCCATCAGAACTGCAAGCTGAATTAAATGTTGCTCGAGAAGATCTTAAGAAGGCCAAGGAGATGTTGGCTTTGGCTGAAAAGGAAAAAGTGCAAGCTCTTGAAGAAGTGAAGGAAGCTCAGAAATTGTCTGAGGAAGCAAATGAGAAGCTGAGAGAAGCTTTGGTAGCTCGAAAGCAAGCTGAAGAGAACTCTGAAATTGAAACGTTTCGTGCTGTTGAGATGGAACAGGTGGGGATTGAAGCTGTTCAAAAGAAAGAAGAGGAATGGCTGAATGAAGTCGAAGCTGTGAGGAACCAACATGCTGTGGATGTGGCTTCTCTCCTCTCTGCTACACAGGAACTTCAACGTGTAAAGCGCGAATTGGCCATGGCTTGTGAGGTAAAAAATAAGGCACTTAGCAATGCTGAGGATGCCGCAAAAATTGCTGAAACTCATGCACAGAAGGTGGAAATCCTCTCAGCTGAGTTAGTGAGATTGAAATCTTTGCTTGATTCCAGGATTTCTTGGAATGAAACGGAGGTTAATGAGAAGAATAAGCTGGTGGAAGACCTGAAACTTGAGATAGAAACACTGAAAGAAGAACTCGAGAAAGCAAAAAGTTATGAAGCTCAATTGGTGGAAAAAGAAGCTATTGTGAAACAACTTAATGCCAATTTGGAGGCTGCTAAGATGGCTGAATCTTACGCTCATAATGTATTGGAGGAATGGAAGAAGAAGGTCGAAGAACTAGATGCTCAGGCTGAGGAAGCACACCATTTAGAGAGATCTGCATCAGCAACCCTTGAGTCGGTCATGAAACAACTGGAAGCAAGCAATGATCTGGTGCATGATGCAGAATGTGAGATTGCATATCTCAAGGAGAAGGTGCGCATACTGGAGATGTCAATGGCGAGGCAGAAAGGCGATCTTGAGGAATCAGAACATCATGCTCAAATGGCTAGGGAAGAGGTGTCTGAGTTGAGAAAGAAGGTGGATTCTCTTATGTGTGATCTTGAAACAGTGAAGGAGGAGAAGATTCAGGCTTTAGAGAATGAAAAACTAGCAGCAGCCAGTGTTCAAATACTGTTAGAAGAAAAAAACAGACTTGTAAATGATTTGGAAAGCTCCAGGGAGGAGGAAGAAAAAAGTAAGAAGGCAATGGAAAGTTTGGCATCAGCTTTGCATGAGGTTTCTTCAGAAGCAAGAGAAGCCAAAGAGAGGTTGTTGTCTAACCAAACTG